CGTGGACGCTAGCTAATGACCTGCGGGTGGGAGGGACGAACCCCCCAGGCAGATTCGCTGGCTCGTACACGCTCACTCAAGATCACACTAACAGGCAGGTACGACGGACACGGAAACAATTTATGATGCACACAGCTCGCACACACGCACGCACACACGCACGCACACACGCACGCACACACACACACACACTTTTGCTCACGCCAACCTCGCCCCCTCTCCACCGTTTCTCCTCTTAGGCCAAGAAGGCAGCCCGCCGTGTCGCTGCAAAACTGCCCACGAAGCGCAAGCACATCTGCAAGGAGTGCGGCAAGGCATTTAACTCCAGCAGCAACCTCTGCAGACACAGGCGCATCCACACAGGTGTGCACACCGTAACCACACATGGCACGCGACAACACATCCTGCTTTTCGTCTGCGTTTCTTTCTCTATCTGTATCGTGCACACCGTTCGTCAATCAACACAAGCGTCGATCAATATAGTTCGTCAATCAACACAAGCGTCTCGACCCCCCCCCCCCACACACACACACATCCCAACTGTCTTGTCGCTCACCACTGCCATGCCTCCCCCTCCTCTTCCCCAACGTCATCTCAGGCAAGAAGCCGTACGCGTGCACGTTCTGCGGGTTCAAGTTCAACAACAGCAGCAACCGCAAGAAGCACGAGCGCGACTACTGCAAGCAGCGCCCAGAGTTGCAACAAGACGCAAACTAGACCAGCATAGCCAACCTCTCATTGTTGTCTGTGTGTGCATGTGTGTGGTGTGCGTGTGTGTCGTGTGCGTTCGCACGTGACATTGCATGTGTGTGTATGTGCACGTATATAGGAGCTGCTTGACACCTTATTGTAACATGGTCGTTCTAACCCTTCGACGATTTCGAACCCCCACCCCCCTTGCATCTGTTTTCGATGCGTGTCTCCGTTTGCGGTTTCAAATGACCACCACGTGACCCCCCTCCCCCGTCTTTCCTCTGGTTCACAATTGTTGTTTGATTGCTTGCTTGCTTGCCGCGTTCGTAACTGTTTACTTGCACCCTTGATGATCCGCCGTTTTTGCCTTGACTCTCATCTTGCTGCCATAATGGCAACCAATACACATGATGGCGTGTCACATCGCACAGGACACGCACATGCGCACATGTGTGTGTGTGTGTGTCGATAGATAACCAGGCGTTGTACATGAAACGTGTGGATAAGCAGGAGTTGCACACGTCAACAACAAAACACACAGACACAGACACACACACACACACAGACACAGACACACACACAGACACAGACACAGACACACACACACACACACACACACACACACACACACACACACACACACACAAGCAAAGACACAACCCTCCCTTCCCCTCCCCCCCCCCACACACACACACATCAAGGGCTGATGCGGAACTTGAAGAACTCCCACTGCTCCGTGGCCCTAAACGCGTTGAACACATCTTCGTCGGGCGCCCGCAACATAAACGCAACCGCCACGTCACCACCGGACGCAACGTCCGTTGTCTTCGCGTTGATGAGTTGCCGCCCCTTTTCAAACTTGTAAAACACGGCTCGCGGCAGAAACACGCACTCGCACCCGTCGCTCACCAGCGCGTGCGTGTGCGTCCAGTTTGCAATCACGGTGCCACGTGGCAGTGCCTCCGTCGTCACCCACACGCGCTTGACACCACGCACGTGCTCGCTCTGTCGTTGCAGCATCTGTTCCTCCTCCCGCTGCCGCTGCTCAAGTGCCTCCATCTCGCGTATGTGCATCTCTTCCTGCTCGTACCGCGTCAGCACCCGTCGTCGCTTCAACGCAGCCGTGGCCGTGGCGGCGGTGCCGTTGCCGTCGTTGGTCTGGCTGTCGTTGGTCTGGCTGTTGTTGTTGTTGCTGCTGTTGTTGCTGCTGTTGTTGCTGCTGTTGTTGCTGCTGTTATTGCCCTTGTTCTTGTCGGTGTCCTTGCTGTTGCTGGTGGTGCGTTTGCCTGGCTTGCTGCTGCTTCCAAGGCGTGAAGATGCTGCGGACGACGTCACCCTGTGTCGCGTCGACGATGATGGCGGTGGCGCGGATGGTGGCGCACTTCGCTGCTGTCGGCGCCGTCCTGATCCGGATGCTGATGATGAAGATGGTGACGACGGTGTTGTTGTTGTTGTCGTTGGTATTCTTTCTTTTGCTGCTGCTGCTGCTGCCGAGGATGGTGCAGGCGCGTGACACATGGCTTGGGCTGTACCTGAGGGTGTTGGTCGGGTGTGTATCGGAGGAAACAGACACCGTGCGGCCTTTTGTTCCCCCATCCCAACACTGGTCTTCTTCTCCTTCTTCTTCTTCCAGTGCAGTGAATGTGGGTGCGACCGTGGTGATGAAGACGATGATGATGATGATGATGATGACGATGATGATGATGATGATTGTATTGTCAGTCCCATTGCTGCCTGTACCGTCACTGCCTCTGCTGTAGCTGTTGTTGCTGTTGCATTTGTTGCGTCCGCTCGTCTCGCTCCACCGTCATAACCACCACCACCACCACCACCATCACCATCGCCACTCCACGTCATAGAGCGCCGAAGCGATGACACCTTTCGCGCCTTCAGCATCACACCACCACTGCCACCCCCACCACCACCACCACCACCACCACTGCCGCGGCGGCCTGCACACACACGTGTGTCCACGGGCACCTGAAGGGAGTTGTTTCGTTGCAGGGCCCTGGATGGCGATGATACTGACGAAGACGATGTCGATGATGGTGTGGTCGACGCCGGTCCTGTTGCTGGCGATGTGGTTGCACATCTCCTCGATTGCGCCACAACCGCACCACCACCACCACCACCGCCATCACCACCGCCATCACCAACCTCACCCTCATCACCACCTACGTCCTCGGCACGATCATGGCCACAGCCACGACTGCCCACCTCCTCCACTCGCACGTCCGGCACTGCACCAGCACGTGGAAGCACCACCGTTGACGTGAATGCAGTGGCAGACGCACCCCGCACTTGCCCCATCATCATCCTTTCCTTATCACCCTCATTCCCATTCCTCCCCTCGAAGATCGCTCCTTCTCCCCCAACCACCAACCCCTCCTCCCCCTTCGTCTCCCTATGCATGCTGATGTGATCAACTTGTTTCGTGGTACCGTTACCATTCTTGTCCCTCTTCTTGTCCCTCCCCTCTTTCTCCTTCTTTCCCTTCATCATCTTCCTCACCATCGCCTGCTGCTGCTGCTGCTGCTGTGCGTGGCCACTTCGGAGCGATGATCGTGTCCTCGTTGTTGACGATGGTGATGGTGGCGGTGGCGGTGGCGGTCGCCTGGATGCTGTGCCTGCAAGCACAAGGTCGCCGCGTGCATTGTTCACGCGAACGGGGAGGGAGCGCAGGAGGTGTGCGACACCACTTGCCACGACGACAACAAAGTGCTCAGCCTCGCCTCCGTACATGCCCTTGAATATCACTTCGCCTCGCTTGAACTCACGGCGGTGCGCGTGTGTGAGGAGATCAGCCAGGTCGCCGTCGGCGCCACGCCGCATACGCGTTGGGCAGCCGAAGCGTG